ACACACACACACACACACACACACACACACACACACACACACACACACACACACGTTTGTGTTGCTATCTTTGTGGGGACTTTCCATTGACTTCCATTCATTTCTACAGCCTAAACCTGACCTTTACACTTTTCCTAACCCTAACCAACCAAAACTCAATTCATACCTTAGCCCTAACTCTGACCCCTGACCCAAAAACAGGGTTTCCCCTTGTGGGGACCAGGCTCCGGTCCCCACAAGGAGCAATTGGTCCCCACAACATAGTATATGTCAGGAAAATCGTCCCCACAAGGTACTACAAACAAACGCACACACACACACACGCACACACACACACACACACACACACACACACACACACACACCAATCCCCAATGGAAATTACATCATGGAATGAGTGCAGCAACACAAAGTGCTGACCTTGCAGTTTCTCTTATGAGCTGGCGGCTAAACATTTACAGTATTGGACTGTGAGTCGGTGTGTGTGGCCGTTAACGAGGATCACAGCTGGAGTGTTTTCCAGAATAGGATATGTTGCTTATGGATTTTAATCTTTCAGTGTGACTGGCTCACTGAACAGAACAGGAGCCGCCCACAGGGGCTGAAAACTTTCTAACCCTGACGTGTTTTGTGGAAAACTCATTCCAGTCTGTTGATGCCGTGTTGCAGTTTTTATTATCTTTGTTTTCTTTTCCAGATTTTGAGCCACATTTGGAGAAGAAAGTAGAGTTTCAGGTCGTAATCTTAGATTGAGTCAGTTATTTTTAGATGTAACAGTTCACTCCAGTTCTTTTTCTCTGACCTGATCAGGTAGAAAAACAATTGAATCCTTTAAAAACCGCAGGGCGAGTTAAATTTGGAGTGGGCCGCCCATAAACCGTCTCTGGTTGAATTATTAATGATCAGCTCTAAGTAGGATGAGTCTGTCTGCTGCTTCCAGCTCTTCAGCGCTCAGGTCGCGTCGTCCGCAGGAACAAATTTAACACGTCCAAATGTTTTAGGTCCTGCACTTTCTGCCATGATGCTCATCATAACCAAATGCTTTGTATTCGCATCATCTTGTGTTTCTTTTAAAGATTATGCTGCTGACGGATCCGGAGATAGAGAGCAGCCTCCTGATCAGCTCTGATGAAGGAGCCACATACCAGAAGTACCGACTCAACTTCTACATCCTGAGCCTCCTGTTTCACCCCGAGCAGGAGGACTGGATCCTGGCATACAGCCACGACCAAAAGGTGAGGGAGAGGACATGACTGCAGCTCCTTTCAAAGAGGAAGAGCCTCGACTTTCACCAAAGTAAAACCACATCAGGATCCCAGTGACTCTTAGCTGGAGGACTGATGCTCCACAGGAGGCCGGTGACAGTTCAGCCGCAGAACAGGTGGAGCTCTGATGAAAGTCTGACAGTCGCTGCAGGAGGATGAAACGCTGCAGCAGCTTAAGGCTGGAAGTCATCTGGATAAACTAAATTGACTAATTATGTCACTGAAACAGAAGTAACCACATCAGAAACATCCATAAGCTGAAGGGATTTTATTCATTAATCTGAACGTTTCTCTTCTGTGAAATTTAATCTGCAGCCTAACAGAAAAAACAAACAAAAAGTTTGTAACCAAAAAGCTCCAGAGTTTTTATTTTAGGAATCATTGTCTGAGAAACAATGCTCTGAACTTCTCATATTTTCTTGTGTTGCAACATTTAGTGTGTTTCATGTAATGAATCAAAGTGGCCTTTAAATTATACCTGATTTTTAACTGTAAAATTCTTAAAAGTGCGGCATACATTTGCATTCATCTCACCTTCATCAATAACTTGTACAATAATTTTTCTCTGCTTTTATAGCTGCAGAACTTTTGGATCTGATTCTTTGCAGAATAGTTCCAGAGGATTATGGACATTGAAAAAAAAGTTTAGACTTTTTTCTCAGAATTCTGAATTTAAGCAAAATTCTGAAAGATTTTTTTTTTTGGCTCTAATCCTGTTCCATAATCAGATTATTTTCTTTAGTAAATGTGTTTCTTTATCCAACTGTCCTCATTAATTAAGTGAACATTCTGAGTTATATTTTAGTAAAGAAATACCAAACTAAAATATTCTGAAACGTTAAATGTGGAAGCTTGTGTGAAGGACATCGCTGTAAGCACAGCGGTTTGGGAGAAGACAGATTTAAAGATGCACTTTAAGGTGAGAGTCGGTGACTTGAGGTTAAATGTGAAGCAGAGATCCAGAACATGGAGCCACAGCAGCTCCAGCCTGTAGATCCTGTTGTAGAGAACCTGACAGAGGAAGATCTTCCACAGAGATACTGAGGGTATTAATCAGCTTGAAGGTGAAATATGGAAGTAAATATGAAGGAGGACCTGTGTTGTTTGGTCAGAAGGTGGCTGTTAAAATATGTGGCTGAGCTGCAGCTAAAGGCTCATTCCAGGCTTTCTGTTTGCTGTCTGGTGTTTAAAACCAATGAAATCTCAGCAACTGCGGCTGAAAACAAATTAAATGTAATGCCCTGATATTTCATATCTGTTTCCTTTTTGTACAAAATAACAGAGCTGGTGAGAGAGACGGAGACAGAAGGCTTTCATGTGGTTCTGTCAGTCTGCCGGGTTTCCTTTGATAGAAAACATTTTAGCCAATTTGAATAATAAATTGAAAAATTGAACTTGACTGCATTGTTTGATAAAAGGGATCAACTTGAATTGGATGGGATTGACTTTAAATCTGCCTCTGATTGGGTTTATTTATCTTTATAAATAAAGTTGAAGTGAACTGGAAGCAGAACCGGCTCCTCCTGCAAAACGCTGCCAGACCAGCGCAGACACAGAGAGGAGGGTTTGTACAGAGGAGTCCAGATCCAGTCAGACATTAACATTCAGCTCATCAACATGGAAGGTTGGCCGACAATGAAACAGTTTATTTACAAGCAACAAGTTTCCTCTAATCCACAAAAAGTCATTTAACTGTGTAGGATTAGTGTAGTTTATAATAACTGTGTCCTAGTGAAGCATTAAAACATTCACAAATATATATTTGTTTTATATTATTGAGATCAGGCCTTGTTCCAGAAATGTAAACTCTTGTTCAATATTTGTTATAGTTTGCTGTTGTTGGTCTCCTCAGTAGGCCGTGCCGCATCACTGAGACGGCTTTGGACGTTAAATAAATCGTCTGAAAACATGAGTTCAAGTTTGTTCCAGAGAATCTCTTCCTGAAGGGAAACCATGCAGGGCAGATGGGAGAGCGGCGTGACATGCTGAGTCTTTGACACATGGGGGCATCATGACTGAATTGATCCATTTAGCTATTTAACATTCTGCTGAATACCATGATGAGCCTCTGCACATGACGTCATGCTCTTCAGGAAGCAACAACCTGCAAAGACTCCTGAGAATCACTTTTATTTGTTCATTGATTGTGAATGGCTGCGGGTTGTTCCAGTGGAGGCTGCACAGACAGACAGGATGCAAACCAAACTACGTTTTATCGTAAGTCTTTTGATGAGGAAGGATGAGCAGTGAATTTACAGCAAACAGTTTTTACAAACTAAGAAGAGAAACATTCATATCAGTGATGCAATCAAATATTGCAATATAGAAAATGTATGCATCTAATCATTAGTTGAAATGCGCCACCATGATGCAGCCAAGCATGTATGAAAACATCTCTCAGCATCTGGACTTTTACATGCTTTTAAGTTTTCTCTGGTGCAAGAGAAAACCCGGTTCATGACAAAGCGACAAAAATCATGTGGAGAGAATTCAGGCAAATCAATGAAGAAGTCAGGAGGCAGAATTCAGGCTATCTGTGAAAACCAAACCCCAACTAGATGAGCTTCTTCCACAGACACATCAGCTCAACTTGAACCAGTAGAAACTGGAGATACTGGAAAACAATCAGCTGGGTGGGTTCAGTCCACCCATCCCTCAGTGCTGACGTCCGTCATGGCGCCTCAACATGATTAGGAGACATATTTGCAAAGGGTCAATAGCGCTTTAGTGTTAGCCGAACTAATGTCGGAGTCCTCCATCGTTATGTTGTATAACTAACCAAAGCAGAGTATATTTCCCTGGGAAAAGGAAAGAAATGGATAATTCAGTCCCTCATCTTCCGCCACTCCCACCAACTCAAGCTCCTCTCCACCCTAAAACTGCTTCTCTTTCACTTTGCCTGCCCTCTTTTTGGCAGAGCTGCCACATTTGTTGATTGAGAGACCTTTCAGAGGCTGTAGCGGCGGCAGCAGCCCCTCCGCCCCACCAGTAGCCGCCTCACCTCCTCCAGCTCCTGTTCTGCCTCTGCTCTTACTGGGAAACACACTAACTCGTTTTAGGAGGGTAATTAGTCAAAGTGATTTCCTCCTGCCCCAGTTCTCTGCTCTCTTCCTTTTTCTTGCATCTGCTTAGCCAGCTTCATGCATGCATATTAGTAGCAATCAGTGATATTTGTTTTTATGTGTATTAGAACACATTACAAGATGATTTTTCAAAAATATATTTGTATTGATTAACTTTTAACTGGGATGTCATTGAATACATTTATATAATAAAATTGGGACACTTTACAAATATGTCTATTTTAACAATAAGAAACATTAAGGCAATATAAAGTCATGAAAATAGCCAGTAGTGAGAATAAAAACTAAAATCAGAAGAAAAGATGTAAACAGATGTATAACATCAGGTGTCCATCATCATTACTCAGGAGTTTAAATGTGGCTCTTCTAACTTCAGACATTTAAATAAGTCTGCAGCCAGGTGTTGATGTGAGTGTGAACACTATGCTGACCTTAACCTGGTTCTAGTTAGTTCATCTCAAACAGGATGAAATGTGTCTGCAACGATCAGAGGAAGCTGAGCTGAAACAGGTTGAACTGTCGTGGTCAGGAGGAAACATTTACCTGTAATAAATGATTTCTAAAAACAGCTGAGTGTAAATTTGAGGCCGGCTCTGATGAATGCAGCCCGCCTGTTTGGACTGAAATAAAAGCATTCTGATTCTGATGCTGGAATATTTGGACACCTGAACCGGTTTAACCCAAATACAGCCCTGCAGGAAAATAACCAATAGTGAAACATGAAGGTGGTGCTGATCAATATATTTAAATATCAGTAAAGTATTTTTTTCTAATGACTTCATATTTAACTCAGGTGTGTAGGAGCAGAAATACATCTAGAAGTTGCAGGACAGTGTCTGAATTTAAAGATCCCTGTTCTTCAGATTGACTTTTTCCTCCTGCTTAACTTTCCTTTAACATACTTGTATGAATCTCTGTGAACAGCTTCCCTAGCAGTGACATTTCATTCCTAGAAAGGGTCAGTAACTGTCCACTGAAGAACAATCTGATGTAAAATTACAATTTTATCTGCAGAGAGAAAATCCCTTCAGAGGTAAATATCAGACTTTTCAGCAGAGATGATCCATATGGGATGTTATTCTGAGCACAGTATGGAGATGTAATTAGAAAACAAATGAATGCAAACAAACACTTTGGATATCCACTGATAAATAACTGTTTACACGCTGTGCATCACTGCTCACGCTCAAAACGGAAAAGTCAGAGTTTAACATTGAAACAAGTTTGGAGCTTCATTAGATTGTGTTTGTAAGCTGCACAGTAAACAGATTTGTCTTTGTTTTATAACCGAGTACACGTGTTTGAGGATTAAATACTTTTATTTCAGTCTCTAAAGGTTACAGATTAAAAAAATGAAAAGTGAGAATGACTTCATTCTGTACCACTGTGATGGAAAAGAAAAAGTAAATCAATAAATGAATAGATAAAGTTAACATAAACATAATTGCAGTGGCACAGAATCATTTAATGTCCTACCAAAATAAATTACAAAATGCTATGAAAATGTTTTTCTATTTTTTATTACATAATTGTAATGTGCCTGTTTTATACTTTATACCTTTACATTTAAAATATAATTTACATGTTATTATTTAGTAATTGGTGATTTATCATAAAAATAATTAGAATTCCACTTATATTTTTTGTCATCTTTGTGTTTTTCTCATGTTTCATCCAGAAAAATACAAAAAGTTCACCATCGGCTAAATTTAGACACCAGAAACTTTAAGGATAAATTTTCCTCTGCTTCTCCTGCGTCTGTCGACCAGCCTTCAAAACCAAACTGATTTCAAATCAAACTTTATTTTAACACATTTGTACAACTCAAAGCTATTTTAGGCGTTTAAAGAACAAAATGATATGTCTTTATATCTGAAGATGGCTTTTCAAACCTGCTTTTGCTGAAATCTCAGCAGAATGATCAGAGGAACAAACCAGTGCTTCTTGTTTCATGTTCGGTTTCTTTGATTGCGCTCAGACTACCGCTGTCATTTGCTCTCTTCTTCAGTAACTCTCCTCTGCAGAACTGTGACATTCTGCTGCAGAAATCTGAGTCCACAAAATGTCTTAAAGCCGTCACAGTCGATAAGTTAGAGTATGAATATTCCCATGAGGCTCGTTTAACTCATTAAACGTACCTTTTGAAAATGGACAACCTTTAATTGAGCATTAAACACACTTATTTATGAAGGCTGTATTTTTTTATGATGTAATATTCTAATTTTAAATGTCATGTTTTTCATTAACCAAGCAGAAAATTATCGTAATTAACAGAAATGATTTTTCAATAATATTTTAATTTATTGAAGTTAGTAGTTCTTACTTTGGTTCATGATGCTGATGTCTGAGTGCAGAGCTCGTCTGGTGTGAAAACACAAAGTTAATGTCCCAACGGTTGGCCTTGTGCACTTTGGGTCTTATTTTATGTGCTTATACAGCAGAATGATCGTTGGAGAGTAACTTTTATTTAAATTTCTTTTATAGCTTTACAGCTCTGTTGAGTTTGGAAGAAGATGGCAGCTGGTGCACGAGAAAGTGGCTCCTAATCGTTTCTATTGGTAAGTAATCATGATAATGACCTGTTCACTGTACTTTGTTTATACCATTTAAAACTGATGATTAATCATCAAATGTAATTTTCAAAAAGCAGAATGTCTAAATATAATTTATTTCTCTAGGAAAAGTTTAACAAGGGACAGTTTTTTAAATGCATTTTTTCCATTATTCATTAAAACAAGAATGTTTAAACGATTTTATCAGACCTGTCATGATATTGACATTTTAGGAATGAAAAAGGTTTTTTGTCTCTAGTGTTAATAATTTTTCTGCTTCTTGTTCTGAAATGTGTCTGGACCAACACTGATGTTTTTATCAAATAGAAAAATGAGATGATAAGATTCTTTTGACTTACTGACTGCTGGTGTTGTGCCAGAAAACACAACAATAATCTCGTTTTTATATTTTTCTTGAATTTGTCCCTAAGAAGCCAAATACAAACTGTGAGAGAAGATAAAGAGGTACATGTGCTCTATGGGAGACTTTTTCCATTTCATAAATTAAAATCTGAAGCTGTTCATTTTGCTGCTGGATGATTCAGGAAAAACTAAGGCAAACATTAAAAAGCACAGGGGAAAGGCCCCACAGCCAGAGACACTTTTAAACGGCTACTTTAAAAGTTTCATCACCAAATAAACCTCAGAATTCATCAACAGACACAGGAAGTCCAGGAGCTGATGTGAGGAGTAAACCTTAGACCAGCTTTTTAGCTCATCGGTGTTTGTTTGTTTGTTTCTGTTTATTAGGTAAATTTCAACAAAATCTAAACAAATATTGAACTTTAAATCCAATTGCTAATAATCCATTTGTGTAAAAATAACCTGTTTCTAGTATAACAGTCAGAAAACATAAAAATGCACCTTAATTCAGAGCAAAATGACCTAAAAATCCTGCACATCATTTAATTAGAACCTTCCTTCTGTTATTTATCAGCTGCTGCAGAGTTAAAGTGTCACATTATCATCACAGCAATAACTTTAAACATTGGTTCATGTAAATAATGACAAATTGCACATTCTGAAATTCAGATTTTATTATAGAACTGATTAATCTGGTGGCTCTAATTGCTGCATATTAATTGAAGCTGGATTGTTTTGTGCCAAATAAATTTGATCAGCTGTTTGGAAGAGAGCGCAGAGCCGAGATGTTTTCTATGAAACTATAAACACCTCAGTTATTGTCATTTTCTTTTACACAGGTGGTAAAGATGTCAAATTGTAATTAGAACTGAAAAAGAGGCTGTGCAGATGAACATTATTCATGTGTTAGACTGATCATCAATGTGTTGGATGGTTGGGCTTTGCTCAGGTTCATTTCAGTGAATTACATCAAAAGTTCATTTATTCCACTAATTCAGTTGAACAACTGGAACTCATGTAAACTCGTTGCACACAGCTTGATATATTTCTAGTATTAATTGTGATAATTGCAGCTTACAGATAAAAGTTTCTAAGAAAATAAAAATGTTGCATTCAGCCAATAAAAATGATTTTTTATGCAGAATTGTTGGATTTTAATCTGCATAACCATAAAATGTTTCTCCAGTTGCGTTACTGACAGCTTCCACAAGCAGCATAAGCCACTAAAAGTCCTAACTGGGTGTAACAGTAAACCAGTGCAGTCTATTGGCAGTAGAAGGTGAATCCAGATTATTCCTGGATAATTACGGCTTTTCACTGATGTTTTGATGAGCTTCAGAAAAACTTGTAGCTTTATACGGGAGACTCACCGTCCAGAAATCTAGATTATATATTATTAGATTTGAAACATTCAGGAGTGAAAAGCAACCAAATACAGAGACATTAGAATTGAATCATTTGTTTTTTGATAATTTTCCAATTAAGTTTGGAATAAAATATAGAAATACAAAGATTTATGGAATAGATGCTTTCCTCAGGACGCTGACCATAATGTCTTTCATAAAATCTATAAAAACATTTTGTGTTCCTGCTGCATGACTTTGTTGTGCTCCCTCTTCACAAGTTGTGTCAAAGTTAGTTGTTTTCTGCATTTCTTCATCCAGTAACCAACACATGACAAATGGTCTTCACCTCAGCAGAGTGCAGAGGAGCGGCGCCGTAGTAACGAGCCGCGCTGCCAGGAGTGCAGCGGGCCTCAGGGCTGATGCTGCTGATGCTGTCAGGGTTCTATTTTGGGTTGCGCGCTGTGCGGTTGGAGTTGTGCTGGCCCTGGTAATGAAGCTGCTCGGGGAGCTTATGTCTGCTGCACATGCAGCCACGGAACATGTGTAAGCTCATTTGTGATTCGGAGAACCTGAGAGGCACTGAGCGACTCGCTGCTAACCTCCATAGGATGCGACTATAATCAGTTTGGGAGCTCGGCGTCTGCAGCCATTTGCATACGAGTGATAATCTCTGCAGGAACATTTGGGATCTGTGTGTGTGTGTGTGTGTGTGTTTCCTGGGACAAGAGCTCCCTCTCATGTCACCGGCTCTTTTGCTCCTACTGGGTCTGACCTCGGCGCAGACACAGACGCTGCTGTTCGGCTTTATTTGAACTTTCTTGGAAAAACTATTTGCTCTCCTACTGATTTCATCTGTGTTTGTTTTTTGCCAGAATGAATGTTTCAGATAATAACTTTTAATATCAAAGTAATTAGAAAATGCAGCTTTGAGATGATGATGCCCTTTATTAAGAAATAAACCAAACTGTAATACTTCCACTTGTTAAATCATGAATGAGCTTCGACTAGAGGCGAACCGATTGCAGTTTTCTGGTCGATCTTTAAAAAGCCTGACTTGCGGATGCGGTTTTGGCTCATACTGATTTTTTTGTCTGAAAAGTTGTTAAGTTGTCAGAGTGACAGCTGTTAGATGTGCAGACGTGACCTGCTGGCGCGTCTGTCAGTCAGTCCTCTGGCACAGCAGAGCAGACAGGGACTGATTCTGGGACCATTTTGTGGAGGAAAGTAAGATCGGTGGATAACTTTGTTTTCTCATGTAAATAGTGGCTGATGTTGTTTAATCAGTATTTTGAGTGTTGTTGGAGTCTTCACCTCACCAGATTGCTGTTCCTCTTCAGGCACCTTGGAAGGAGGTGAAACCAGAACTGATGCTGACTAAAAAGAACATAAAGTCACATCTTTTATTTGTCAAAAACATGTTGATGATGAACAGATGAAACTGGAATATCTATTTCCAGTTTCATCTGTGTCTCGTTACATCTGGCATAAACTAGCAGCACCTCAGAAAACGTATGATGAGTCAGACATGGAGGAGGTTTGATGTCTGGGCGTCTCTCCGCCTGGACGACGTTCTGTTGTTCTCCAGGTCATCATTTCATGGCCTTCAGGTGAAACAGACTGGAGTTATGGAGCAAGGCAGTGATAACAAACATCAAGATGACTAAAAAAGGGTTCTGCAGTGGCCTAGTCCAAACCTGGACTGAAACTGAGTTGCTGTTATTCAGCCTGTCAGTGTTGTTGTAAACACTTGTTGCCAGGAATGGAACAACCATTTACTACATTTAGGGGGTCATATATATACTTTTGACCTTCACTAACTTTTTCCTGAATAAATAAAGTGATATTTTGAAAACCTCTTTATACTAAAGTTATCTTTATATAATTCTTGGAGGGTTTAAAGCATTAAACTGTTTGCCCTCTTGCAGAAACCTGACGGGGCAAACTTCCTTCATGGTTTGCTCTCCCATAATCCACTGCCTGCCTCAGATGATTCTTTGGATTATTTAGTAAAATGTAAACATGGATTTGAGAAGTAGGCCATCATGTTCAAGGTTTTGTTTGATCTCATGTAGTTAATAAAAGAACAATGATCTGAGTTTTGCTGTTTCTCAGCCTGTCTCACACAGACTTCCAGAAATCTGTTCGGTCCGTCGGAACGTTGTCACGTCTCCTTCCACCTTCTCCCATCAGCTCCTCATCTTCGCCTCCTTCCTCTGATCCTCCAGTCTTTTTAATACATTTTTAATGCCCTAATGATTATATGCTATTCCATCTGCAGGCATCCCGACTGCAGCAGGAAAATCAATGGATTTTCCTGCTCTAATGATGGGAGGAAACATTTTTCTGTCTCTCTCGTTCGGGGAGGAAAAGGACCTTCAAGGTCTTTTGAACATTTAGATCACTCACTCAACCTGAGGCTCTCTGTGCTGAACACAGACCGTCGTGTTGGAGACAGTAATTCCTACATGCAGCTCTGCTGATATTTACCGCTGCTGTGGTTGCAGTTGGCTGAACCTCTCTGTTGTTATAAGCTTGTCTGACTTTGCAGCATGTAATCTCTCAGGTCAGACAGCAGCTTCGGAAAGGGGGGGCATCCACCCGATGGGAAAAGAGCAACAGTGATGTTCCTGAAACATATTTGTCTGCCTTTCAGGTCCAAGATGGGTTTGGACAAAGAGCCGGGCTTAATTCACCTGGAAACCAGCATCTCTGAAGGACGTGAGTAATTGAATTCTGAGTTCAGAGCTCTATTTTCCTGCTGTCTTTGTGCTCTGCTGGAGGCATTGTGCTCAAGTAGTGAGCAGTCGGGGGGTTCTTGGATAGTCCTGCTGCAGGATAATGTAAAGGGACGGCCGGGTCCAGGGACCCACAGGAACAATGGAGGGAAAAGTAATGCATGGATCTGTAAAGCTTTTAAAGATCAGCGGTTCAGGTCAGTGGTGGACATGTAGATTAATTTCACTCACCTGAATCACGTCGACACGAAAGTGTTTTAAAAAGGACAATGACTTTGTTCTGCACAGAAATCCTTGGAATACATGAAACTTCACTGAACTCTGTTGCTACTGAGTAAAATTATGTAGGATGTGATGTAGCATTTCTGCTTTGCTCATCCAGTTAGCCTCTAAACGTACAAATCTCTCAGCTCTGGATGTTTTATGCATGAGACCCTGAGGACAGATTCGTTCCTGAAGCCTCAGTGCCTTTCATCAGAACGTTGTCCGTGGATGGACATGTCCAGACCACATTTCCCTGTCTGGACATGGTCACATTGTTAATTTATCTGTGTTCCTCTTCGTTTCCACACTGCCATCTATTTTCTTTTTTTTGGTTTTTGTTTGAGCCTGATGTGACAGAGGTAAGCCAATCAAACGCAGTCCTACACAGTGTTACAGTCACACAGCCAGAGACCATCAGCATTGATCACGCCTGTATGGAGGGAGCCGACAGGTTTTTGGCAGAGGCCGGCGTTGGGGGACAGGCGTGCGGCCGCAGAGCCGTGATTGAAGGCAAGGAAAGCAATCGGCCTCTCGGTTCATCTGTCATCTCTTACCGGGGCCACTTCACTGACACGGGGCCAAAAGAGAGCACTTAGCTGTGGGTGAAGGCTGCCTTTCTTCATCGGCTAAAACCATATCAGAAGCCACGGCCTGACGTGTTTGTGTGTGTGTGTCTCTGTGTGTGTGTGTGTGGGAGCAGAGGCGCTGTACATCACCTGCAAGCTGCAGAACTGCACAGACGCCAACAAGGGCAAACCATTCCCCGGATACATTGACCCCAATTCCCTGGTGGTGCAGGATGAGTATGTGTTTGTCCAGGTAAGTAATCGTCCGTTTGCTCCGGGACGGCGCTGTGGCTGTGGGAGATTCATCCAGGGCATATTCGGTTATGTTCTGTTGTTTGTTGTAATATGATGTTGTTTGTCATGTTTGTGCCTGAAGGTGTCCACTGCAGGGAGGCCGGTCTACTACGTTTCTGCAAAACGAGACGTCTTTACCCCGATGAAGCTGCCAAAGTACACCCTGCCCAAGGTAACACGGCACAGCGCTTAGTTACAGCGTACATAACACTCACCAACAGGCGCTCCTGAGACTTTGACCATTAAAAAGCAATTACACAACCCTAGGAAGTGTTAGAACAAAAATTCTGCACAGCAGTGCTGAAGTTTGTACATCTAAACGTTGGATCAAAATGAGCTCCCGGCTCGTTTCAGGATCCGATTCATCACTGGCTCCCTGCGATGGTCTCTTTGGTGTTTCCAGGCAAATCAAGGCCAAAAGTTTCTCAGGGTGTTTCCAGGATTGTTATTCGGCTCTGCTTCGCGTTTGCCTGACCTCGCTTATCACGTCCCTACTGACAATTAAACATGTTTTATTCAATCAGGCCCAGTGCGCCCGGGTAGCTGCAGGCTGGCTGCAAGGTATTATTGGAACAGTCAGAGGTAGATGAATCTCCCAAGCTAACAGCACGAACTCAGCCGAATAGTTTCTGTCCAATAACTCTTAGCAAGTGGTAATGATTGCTGCATCCTCTTAGTTAAAACACAGACGACAGAAACATTCAGATGGCTGTGATTAACCCAGCAGGAGCTCAGGAACAATAAGGATCATATGAACGTCTTTAGGTTTATAATTGGAACAGAATAAATCATGACTTTGATTGAAGGACCAAATTAAAAGCAAGCTGAGGTGCATTCATACTCGGAGTACGAATGTTAAAACTCTCATCAGGACCATTGAGTTACAGCTGAAGTACGTAACTTTTAAAAAACATGTTAAAACTGTCAACATGCTGAGACATCTAAGAAAAGATTGATCTCCTCAGTGAGCTGCAGAAATTCACACTCCCCGTGTCAAACAACCAATCAGAGCCAAGAGGAGTATCTTAATGCTGTCAATCAACCTCATGCACGCACTGCTAAATATGCTAATGGCAAAGAAACAACTTACTGTTCCAGGAGAACTGTTCTTCCACTACGCTAACCAGTCTGAGCATTCATAGCTGCTGTGGTGAACCAACTGTGTGAGCAGCGTGTACACAAGTTTGACTGACAGCGCTATGACCCTCCTCCTGATTCTGACTGGCTGGTTCTGACCGCGCATCATATTCAGCTGACAGCAGGACCTTATAGAGAAAGCAAACAACTTTTCCGTCCATCCGTCCATCCATCCGTCCGTCCGTCTGTCCGTCCATCCATCCGTCCATCCATCCGTCCGTCCGTCTGTCTGTCCATCCATCCGTCCGTCCGTCCGTCCGTCCATCCGTCTGTCCGTCCATCCGTCTGTCCCCTCCTCCCTCCAGGTGTAATGCATATCAAATCAAACCTTTCCGTCCAGCCCATCAGCCTGATTGTCCTGGTCCGTCTCCTAGGAGCTGCATGTGATCAGTACAGATGAAAACCGCGTAGTGGCTGCTGTTCAGGAGTGGAACCAGAATGAAACCTACAACCTGTACGTGTCGGACACTTCGGGCGTCTACTACACTCTGGCTCTGGAGAACGTGGTCAGCAGCATGGGCCTGGAGGGCAACGTCATGGTGGACCTGTATGAGGTAAACAAGCTTTAACAGGACCGTTCTCCGCTGGAGTCTGCTTTTCATTCCAGAAACACGCTTTGATTTCAGTTAGAGGTGAACGTTAGAAGCAACTGGTCTGAAGTTTTATTAGAACTTTGATCAATATATCAGAGCTTAAAGGCAGAGGGGATGAAATAAACCAGCAACTTTCCTCTGAAGTGTCCACATCAACAGGAAAAGGAATTCTTCCTAGAATATTAGCTTTCCTGAAGCTAAGATTATCTCTTCCTTTGATGAAAAAAGCAGCTAATTTTTAATGAAACCTACCTAATCTTTATAATTTTTTGAATCATTTGACCACCTGCCATTATTTAAAACTTCTATCTGCGGATCTGATAATTAAGCCTGCGATGATGCAGCGCATGTCTTCCTGCAGCCACAGAGATAGAATCAAATCCACCGTCCTGATTGGGGTCGCCACCCGGGACGAAACTTATGCTAAATCTCCACTCCGAGGGAGAATGAAGTATCTGCCAATTACCAAAGTGGAGTTTCACGGGTTGATGCAGGCGCAGCGACTCGCTGGAGGCCGGCTGCGGCGCCCCGCGGGCCTCCAGCAGGGAGTCACATTCATTTAAGGCACACATTGATTACTCACAAGTCTCCAGACGCTCCATCATTTTCCACTCAGCGTTTGTCGCTGTGTTTGGTTCTGGTAGGAATACAGAGCAGGTCTGTGTGTGCTGCAATCAGCCCGGCGTCCGACTCGCTTTGCACTGAGCTGTGTTTTATCAGCTCCATGTGACGTTACTGCAGCTGGTAGTCAGACTTATGGGTGCTGCTTGTAAAGTTACACTGTAAAAAATTACAGAAATGTTTTGGTTTATTTGGCCTGTTATTGAGAAAAAAACTTTTAATTTTTTAAAGTTATATTTTCACCATGTTGTACATACATTTATAATATTATAGTTCCAAACTATAGATTCATTGACAAGTTAAATATTTAGTTAAATTAAATATTTCATTTGTATGTAAATATTTAGTTTGTGAGCTAAATATTTTGCTCACAAACTAAATATTTAGTGCAGGTCTGAGTGAAATGATGCCGTCATGGAGTCGTTCTCCTGCTGTTAACTTTTCACTTTCATAAACATCATAAATAACCACATACAAGTTCTTCTCTTTCCTTTTTGTTTATCTGCTTTGTCTTCTCAAACCTCCAGTCAGTCGTGGCAGATGGCTGCTGGTACCGAGCCTGGTTCTGGTTCTGGTTCTGGTTCTGGTGGAGGTTTCTTCTTGTTAAAGGAAGAAACCTCTCGCTACATGCTTGCTCAGTGTGAGGGTTTTCTGTAATGTGAGTGATCATTGCTGCGTGTTCCTTCAGGAGGAATAAAATAAAAGTCAACGGCTCGATGCAACCTGCTGGTTTTCCTTATGGAAACCTTTTAGACTAATTTGAATAATTCACTGTTTGGTAGCTGAGATCAACTATAATATATGTGATTGAATTTAAATTATTTTTTCAAAATTCCTTGAAATATCGTTTCTTGAGAAATGTTAAATTGAACATTTATTCTGATTTGTGGAATAAAAAGGTTGTGTGGTTTTCTACGATGTATGTAAACATCTGGTTTCGACTGAAGTGAATAATATTCAGAGATCTGCCTGAGTTTCTCTCAAAGCTGTTTCTGTGTTACCTTCCCAGGTGGCAGGAATAAAGGGCATGTTCCTGGCCAACAAAAAGACTGATAGCCAAGTGAAGACGTACATCACTTACAACCGCGGCAGAGACTGGAGGTTGCTGCAGGCCCCCAGCAGAGACCTGAGAGGCAACAGCATCCACTGTGTGCTGGTGAGCGCTGCTGCAGCAGCTGCTGCTGCTGCTGCTGCTGCTGCTGCTGCTGCTTCTTTTTTTATCCATGTGTGCGCGTCCATCTGAGAGACAGGAGCCGCCTGATCCCAGCAGCAGCGAGAGGCCGCGCTCAGAGAGCAGCAGCCGTCAGAGCTGAGTGCTCCGAGGCGGCTGAGCTGAAAGGTCAGCCGTTCTGATTCAGTCCAATAAGCCGACCTCCCATTTAAGCTACTGGAAGAAGAAGAGGTGTCAGATGGAAAAGCGCGCTCCTCTCCTTCATCTGTCCATCTTCCTGAGAGCTCCTGAAAGTTGGGGCAGCTCATCGTTCGCCTGAGATTTCAGTCAGACGCTAAAGTTCAACAATCCAAGTAAACAATCCGGTTCATCTGGAACGTTCCCAACTCATCCCAACCTCAGACCGGAAATAATCACTCCCCCCGCCCCCCCAAAAAAAAAAGAAACCCCAAACCAATTAGATACTCTGTGGCATTTTTTGCCTTCTTCTCATATTATCCAGTCATTTGTCAGCAAATGTCAGAGTTTTAATAAACCTCCAAACAGCCCGTCACAACATGGCCTCCTCCACTGGCATTTCGCCGCCTCGTAATGAGAATTGTGTCGGTAAAGGTTAACCCAATCAAAATTAATGGTGAGGCCGGCCAATGGGGATGCCGTGTTTGTGATGGAGCTTATGACTTGGGAGGGTTGCAGATCCGAGTCGATGCAACCGGCGAGGCGTGCGTCCGCGTCTCTTAGTGATCCCGGCGGCTCGGCCCGAAGGTTTCGCTAATTGAGATCTTGATTTCTCCCTCTGCAGCCGTACTGCTCATTACATCTCCATCTTCACGTGTCTGCCAACCCCTACACATCTGGAAACATCGCCAGCAGGGAGTCGGCGCCGGGGATCATCGTCGCCTCAGGTGGGTGTGAGGAAGGCTGCTGCCGCCGCTGACGGTCTGTCTGCCTTCCTTCAGACGAATCCGCTAATTATGTAACGACCTGCTAACAGTGTTCACTTAATTACGGGGGTTTTATTATTTAACTGGTTTTACAGTCGGAGTTTCTTCTGAATCCATTTTGCAGCATCAAATGAAATACTTTATCTTTTTTGCTGCATGTTGGCGAACTGTAGAATCTCCTGCTTAAAGTCAGAAACACTGATCTACATGTAGATACTTTCTGCAGACAGATCTTCTCTTCAGGATGTTACAGACATAAAGTATTCACTCTTTGATCTTGTTCTTTACAACCACACACTTTGATGAGCTTCATTAGGTTTTAATGTGAAGTAGAAAGAAAATCATCTTCCATCTACTAACGTTAATGAAAGATTTTCTTTTTTATTTTACTCTACAAGATATTTCAGTTAAGATCTGAACATCAGTTTTATAGTCTTGGCTCAAATTGTCAATGTAATTTTGCTCAGGACTTTGACTGGGCCATTTTAGAACACAGATACAGCTTCATGTGGAAGTGTGTAAACCTTTTACCATGCAGGCTGAAACCATCAAGCTGAAGGAACCTGTGGTCTTCAAAAATAATTTGTTCAAAATATTTGTTTTTGATGAGTAAAAACATTTTATTCTTCCAGAATGAAATACATAAATCATGAAATGATCTTCTGCACCTTCCTGGATAATCCCTGCAAATGAAAATCCTCCCCGTAGCATGATGCTGCCACCACCATGCTTCACATTGATTATATGGGTTGTTTGTTTCTTCTTCCCAAAGATTTTATTTAGATGGTAGAAGTAAAGATGAGGCAGTTGAGTTCTCATTTGAATCCTACTTGGCTTTATTACATCTCATAAAATCTGGATAAAATTCATTCAGGTTTTTGTTTATTTGATAAAATGTGAGAACGTTGAAGAGTTATGAATACTTGGCCTGCCTCTGCCTGCTGCCAGCTGCTCCAGCCTCTGCCTGCCCTCCTCTGCTTTCCACCAAACAGCCATCAGTGATGCAAAGCCATAAACCATCAAGAACAAAGAAAAATGGAGGAAGATGACATCAGCTGCCTTCCAGGTGGATTCACACCGCAGTGATATTTACTCCCATATGGACCGACACTGTCAATAACTCATCAGCACACACCTCAGGTGTCTGCAGAAGGCCAGGCTGGCACTCTGAGCGTGAAGCAGAGAATTAAACAGCTCTCAGTGCAACAATCGACCCGTTTGGTTTGATCCGTCATTATTCCAGCTGCGGTCACGAAGGAGGAAAATAACGGAAAAATAACTTCTTCCTCTCCATCCGGGGATCTAATTTTAGAACGATTTCAGCCATCATGATCGCATTTCCATTGATAAAGTCTACAGATGGTCCGGACCGCATGAAGGAGAGGAAGTCAGAGCCATAAAACGGCGATCTGTTCGCTGTAAACTGAAACTCAACTGCTGCTGGGATTGTTATCACCCTCATTGTGCTACAAAATGAGAAATAAAAGAATGCACCTAATGGGAAATTCAACCTTTGATGGTCACTTTTCATAGATCACCTTTCTCAATCTGAAGACAGAAACTGGATCAGCATTGCGACTTTGAGTCGGTTGTGAGAAGGAGATTGTGGCTCATGGAGAGTTCATTCCTGTGGAACAATCAGGCCTCCCAAACCTGCCACCTGGCACCAATTACAGGCTGAATTAAAGCAATTACAGCCTTTTGCACTGGATTAGGAAAGCTTGTCTTAATGTGGTCCGAAGTGCTGAAAGATGAATACAGTAATCAGGATTTATTGGTTAATTTGGGAGCCTGCACAAATGTCACAGTGCGGCGTAGATCTGTAGGAGCGGCGTAATTACAGGTGCAGTCAGCAGCTGCAGAGCGGACCACCGCTGGCTGCAGTCCTCACTGCATAAAAGTTAGATTTGATCTGAAGCAGGCTTTTCTTCCTGCGTACACATCATGCTGCTCCCATCATCAAATGCGGTTTGTCTTGTGTGAATTTCCTCTGCAGGCTCCATCGGTTCAGAACTGACCACCAGCAATGTGAGCGCGTTCATCACCTCTGATGCAGGAAACACGTGGAGACAGGTGAGGCCTCTTTGTGCTGCCTGATGTCACGCCGCTGAAATGTATCCTGTGAAGTAATTCCAGTTCAGCTGTGAAATGTGGGAAGTGTAAAACAATATGACATCACTTCTGTTGGGAATGCAGCCTTTGATTCTTCTTTGTGAAGGAAGTGAGAGTGTTTTAGAAATCTACAAACCTTTCAGACGTTTCCATGGCAGCAGCTGACTGACATTTGGTTCACTTCTGTTTTGCCATCCTTACACGCTGCCTGTCTCTTTCTGCTCATGTTCAGTTAGCAGACATTGAAGACTTTATTATTGGGTAGAAAAGGTTCCACTGCGTGTTGTCAGGACGTCCACATTCAAAGTGTGAACAGTGTTGGCCTCTTGGAGCAGAGCTGAGCTAGACTTTAGTTTCTCTGACCAGAGGCTTCGTTGATGCAGGACTAAAACAGCCGACTGTTGGCAGGACGGACTCCAGCTTTTAATGCTGCAGGAAACCACATGAACGCCTGGAATGACGAAGCAGATAAACCTTCAGAAAAGAAAACTTAAAACCAGATTGTTGCTCCTCTTGGATCCACAAAACAGAGCTAATAAACTGAGCTACATGTAATATTTTGTTAAATCTTTTCAAGGATATCCACAAAAGTTGGTAACTGGGTTTTATCCGCAAATGTATTTTTGATAATTATCATTTTTAATTTGTTTGTAGCAAAATGATCTGGCCTTCAGTGTTTGAAATTAGCATCCAAGGCTCAGTAGCCTGGGTTTGATTCAGTCAGCAGCACGCTGATCATTCATAGGTAGAATGGCAAATAAATAATAAATATCTGGCCCTCAAATTTATGAAAACCAAACCAATGATTAAAACCAAAAACAGAAAAATCCTGACTTTCTGAGGAGATAAAAACAGTAGTTGACTTTATCTTCATGATCCATGTGAGCTGAACATTTAGTGATCCGTCATTTAACCCTAAATGTAACGGATGTTGGGCTTATCAGCTAAAACACTGAATCTGTTCAGCTCAGTGAATGCCTTGGTGCTAATATCTGCTTCTGGTCTGGGGTTTGTTGCTGCTATAGAAAGTCTTAAAGTTAGCTATTTGTGATATAAATAAGGTGTTAAACAGTGAAGACAGAAAAACCTGCAAAAAGCCATTTAAATAGATAAATGTGTTCTCCAGGTCACATCTGTTCATTCACCAAGCACTGCAGGTGCTCAGCACTTCTCACCTTTATGGATTTGGTCTTTTATTTCACAGCTTATTTATGTTTTTATTTTTGTCCCTGAAGCACCTCACTAGCAAATATTTTAAAACATATTAATTCCCCATCATTTTTCTGTTCAGCATCCATGACTAAGTTTATACATCTGTGAAACACAATTCTTCCAGTTTGCATCAGTTTTAACCTCGACTGCTACAAGCAATTAATGTCTTAGAAACATCTTTCATTCAGAAAGTCATTTTTCAAGAAGGCAGGAAGTTTTTACCTTCTGAATGGAACAAGCTGCCATGTAGCTCTGAAACAAATGAACTCAGAAATTAAAATAACAAACATGTGAGTAAAGCCAGTCTGAACTACTGCAGGCTTTTAGCCACATCACTCCAAACTTAGCCAGAAGACTCAGTCGAAGTTAGTAAAGGATCTTAATGGAGACAGTCAGGCAGGGCCGGCCCAAGCCTTCATGGGGCCCTAAGCAGCCGCTTAGTTTGCTGATGCCTTGGGCCGACCCTGCAGTCAGGATCAAACTGTGCAGAAGCCTCTGGGACATAAAGGCAGACCAAGACTGGGGGAGCTTTTGGGTCAGAATAAATTGGGATCAAGCTGATACCTGGAGGAAATAATTCAAGCATAAAGAGTCATAAAGCTCAGAAGACAAACATCATCCACAGTTAGAACGGCGGCGATCACAGCGTTTATAGAGAAGCTGACAGATGTGAGGAACAGCTGGAGGTTGTCTGGAGCGTTGGAGGAACGCTGTCTGCTCAGACAGATGAAGCTACGCTAATTAAAAGAAGCAAAGTCATAAACTATGTCCTAGTTAAAGGAGCTGGATGTGATGTTCAGAGCTTGGGTTCTTCTTTTAGAACCTGACCAGTTTCAAACTTCACCAGAACATCCTGGGTCTTCATGATGCTGGTTGTTCTCTGCTGACTCGTTACGGCGGCCGCTGTAGGCACCAGGCTGCAGTGGATTTTATTTAGGGGTGTCAAAGAAAAGGAGGCTCAATACAAATGCATAGCGAGAAAATAAAGACGTGACGATCCGATTCTTTTAAACGTCTCCCTGAACAAAGCATGTTTATTACCTACTTTATGTTTGATGGATGTGACTGCATCACCATTTCTACTGCAAGAACATGCCAGGGTCCTACTTCACACATACTCAATAAATATTAACTTCAAGATTGTTCTGGTTTGTGAATTTCACTCAATAAAACAAATAATATAGAACTATAGTGAGGGTAAAATATGTGGTTCTTAGAAAAATCTACAAGTGGATCATCTGAATATCTGTTCCATCAATAACTCAAAAGTGAGGAAAACAAAATAAATAAAAATCTGTGCATTTTTTACACTTTTTTTTAAATCTGATTTTTATTTGTTTCCTAGAGTTTAATGTGAAAATCCTCCTGTCTGTTGTCTTGCTGTCAACTTTTCACTCAGACTTTTTTCATGAAACACTTTGATAAAACATAATTTAGAAATCTGAGGGCCAAGTCAAAACGAGGGGCTGCCGTCATGTGAATAACTTTCATTAGATATTAACATCACAGAATCATATTACAGTCTCTGAGGTCGTGTAGCTTTGTAAGGTCAACAGCATGCGGCTTCCTCCCGGTGACGGCTGCTCAGTGTGCAGACGCAGAAAAGTCTCGCCTCGCTGAGCTTTCTTCTTTCTCCTGCAGATCTTTGATGAGGAGTACGCCGTGCTTTATCTCGACCAAGGTGGAGCCTTGGTGGCAATAAGACACACTCCACTTCCCATCCGACACCTATGGTGAGTCATTACCACGAAGCTGCCGTTTGTCACAGCATGACTAATTCCCTCAGAGGGAGCTGGAAGTCTTAAGTTAGTCAAACAGAAAAGCAAATGAGTTTGTCTTGAACTGGGGATGATTCCTGTTAGAGGAGCCAGCAGCCGTGGAAAATGACTGCTCTTACAGCTGTCATTCCATTTCCCCTCTCCGTGTTTGAAGTCATAATGAGTGTAGCTCTCGCTGATCGCTGCTCATTGAGCAGACTCCCTCAGTCCTGCACAGAATATGAAATAAAGTTGTGAGACACCTCTAAGGGTCATTAGCTTGTGCACACAGCGGGGGGGATTAGCATGGATCCCAGGTGCTGCAGCTGTTTGTGTTCTCAGGTTGAGCTTCGACGAAGGACGGCAGTGGAACAAGTACAGCTTCTCCAACACGCCTCTGTTTGTGGACGGGGTGCTGGGCGAGCCGGGCGAGGAGACGCTCATCATGACGTGAGTAGCACACGTCCATCTCGAAAAAATATCAGGGAAAGAGAGAAATCAGACAAATTGTGTTTGAACTTTTCTGAGCAGCAGTTGATGCAATCTCTTTCTGGTGAACCAGGGAGGATTTATCAAGGCAAAATCAAGCAAACACATCAAATACTTCCGTCATCCTGATGTGAAATTAAATGTTTAACTCATATCATCCTAATTCCTTCAGTCATTATGGATGGTGATGCTGCCACCATCCATTACTGTCTATAACAAATATGATCAAGTCTCTGACTGTTGCCCAGGACTTTTACACAGTAACTTGGCCGAGATGATACCATCAGTTGTTGGCCAGAACTGCTAATGCACCTCATTTGCTTTTGCCACTCCTCTGTAAATCTCTGTCTGAAAGTCTGGCAGAGAGAAGTTAGAGTTTGGGACCTGAAGAAATGGCTTGAACTTCGTCCTTCTGTCTCTGCTGGTTGGTACTGACCAGCTGTATCCAAGGAGAGAGATGCTAATCAGCTGCTCCTGGTTGTAAAACCAATACCTTGTTACCATGGTTACACATCATGACAACTGCGTGAAAGTAAAAATGTGAGAGCAAAAATCCTAGCTGCATTCAAACCAGAGGGAATAAATGTCTAAACATGAAACCAAAAACTATATGAACGAAAGTCTAGAAAAGAATAAATCAGAGGTAAAATAACAGAGCTGCTCCAACATGCTGTCCGTGTTGCACTTTTAGAGCTCAAAGCTGGAACAAAAATAAAACCTAATTTCCTCCAAAGCATTCATCTGATTTGTCACCAGATAGAAATGGTCATTCAGAGCCGCCATGATTCTTAGCAGAGGAGCTGATGGAGCCAATCATCAGAGATTTCAGTCCATGCTGACATGACAGCATCATGTGGTTATTGAATAGAAAGTCATTTTGTTTCCCTTTTTTTAAAGGTTTTATTGGCTCTAGTGGCCTTTATTTGATAGTTAATTAACAGGAAAGTTAGTAATGAGAGACGGGGAAGACATGCAGCAAAGGTCGCCAAGGCCGGGAATCGAACCTGCGGCGGCTGCGTTGAGGACTGAGGCCTCCATATGTGGGTTGTGCTGAACCACCACAGCACAACCATTGTTACCTTTTTCATTAGACTTTCCTTTGGTTTGTAGCATTACTATTATCAAATTCTGTTTTCTGCAGGATTGGTGTTGGAGGAATGAAAGCCTCAACCAGGAAGGACAGACATTTTGATAATTACAGACTAGACTGTGACAATTAAATGCATTATTGACGACTGATTAGAGATTAGAGAACTGAAACAGGAGAATAATCCTGGTGGGCGAATCTGGTCAGAAACCTGCAGAGTTTCTGCTGAGTAGAAACACAAACATGATTTGAGCTGAGAAACCTGACAGGAAACCGGCTCCATCTGTTGTTAGCTTGAACATCGGGGTGGTTGATTCTCCAAACCCAGATCCTCTGACTGCAGTAGGTAAGACATTAACTCTGCATCTACAGATGTGTTCCTGTAACCTGAGCTTTGCTTCGCCTTCTGAGCCATCCAGCATTCGTCTCTGCCTGTTTTCTTCTTCATGAATAAAAACAAACTTTCTCTGAAGGTCTGGCCAACATCAAAACTGGCTGTCTCCAGATTGTGATCACAGGAGATCAATGCTTTGGCAGCCGGCGACAGCGCGACTGTCCATTTGAAGAGCATGAAGGAAAATGATCAAAATGATAAAAAAGACAGGAAAACAGCAAAGAAAGTTTACTTTTGAAAACTTTTAACAGCATTAGAAATCGGCAGAGCGGCGAGCACGAATCAGTTTGCCCTCAGAGAGCAGAGTTATGAAGATTCCCTCCACATTTATTATTAGAATAGCCACGAGCCGGGAGCATTCATACGACGCAGCACGGCCCGTTATTGCAGCAGAGAGTGGGGCCTGTGGGGCCCGTTACCAAAGGGTCTCCACGGGCACATCAATGTTTCATGACACCTGCCATTAATGACAGAGTGACGGCGGGCGCGGCGCGGCGCGGCGGGAGAGTGATGGGCGCAGCAGGAGGACGGAGAGCAGGAAGGCAGGATGACAGCGCTCTGAGGAGGAACGCACCACGGCTGCTTCTGTTTGGAAGGAGTTTGAGGTTCTGTAAAGACAAAGCAGAGACTGAGATCAAGTCCTCCAACGTTAAGCCTCTTGGCCATCAGTTTTCATAAGACCATCATGCACTGCTTTCTTATCAATTTGTACTAATTTCTGCAGTAAGTGCCTGTCATGGTCGGATGCCTCCGGCGCTAATTGACAGATTGTGATTAATATGTTGCTATATGGTCTCACACACACACACACACACACACACACACACACACACACACACACACACACACAGTCACTTGATTCAGCTGGAGAAGGGATATTCTCCTAGCCGGTTTAATAACCTTGAATTGTATTTGGAATCTGGTCAGAGAAAAACAAGAGAATTTATTCTTATTAACGTTCATAATAAAGACAGATTAGTCGTCATTTTGTCTTATTTTTGTTTGGTTTGTATTTTCCGATGTGAGTAAGGTGACAACAAATAAATGTGAAAGCAGGGATGCGTGTCTGGGCTGGAGCAAGTCGTCTGTCTGCAGGGTTTTCTTTCTGCATGAGGATCTCATTTGTATTTGAAGCAGAATGTTTTCACCCAGGCCTGCTGTGCAGAAACCAAAGGAAATCGAAAAGCTCTTTTAACCGAGCCTGTCTGGAAAAAGAACAACTCTTTATCACTCCCTTTTTCTCCTAGAGTTTTATTCTTTTGTCTCGTACAAATATTAGGCTACAAATCTTACAAACTTATGCTAAGTTTTCTGAAACTTTATTCTGTCAGCCTCTTCAGACTTCATGAAGTCGTCACTGTGCTCTTCCCAACTCATCCCAAATGAAGTTGGAAAATATCCTTCAGTGTAAAATCATAGGAGCTTTTACTGAGCTACGTTCTCTACCTGGTGAACTTTCTGATCCGTTTTTAACAAAAGATCCACAAAAAACAATTACAAAATAGTCTAAGCTCTAATTTAAGTCATTTAAATAAATAAACCCTGTCAGCTGGTTGTCTTTTAAATAAGAAAGCATGATAGGTGGAATAAAAGCTCAAAACATTTAAGAGTTATCAAACATTTGAAGCCACAATTTTGCAAATAATTTAGTGTTAGCTATTAATTTTGACGTTAAAACCTGTCAGGGTCAGAAAGCTTCCTGGGATGATGGCGAGTAGTGAAGGATCATTTTCAGATGGAAGGAGTCCAGAAACGCTCCATGCTGGAATCCCACTGCATGATGGGCAACAGGTTCAAAACATCCACATTCTGGCTGGTTTGTGTTTTTAAACGTAGTTTTCATCTCTCTGCCTCTAACATTGTTTCTGTAAATAAGATGGAGTTTACTCAAAATCTGTCACAAATTGAACAGGATGCTAAACGAGAAAATTGATATTTTAGTTTGGACCATGGAGTAATACATGTCTGGTGAAGTTTTCCTTCTCCTCTAACTCTGGTCTAGTCTGTTTTGAATCCGTTTTGTGGTGCAGAGTTCTGCTGCCTCCTCTTTAACGGCTCGTTCCATCAATCTCCATCCCTCACTTGATTCTTTCTTTACATGACTTGTTTCCAGGATCTTTGGCCACTTCAGTCATCGCTCTGAGTGGCAGCTGGTGAAAATAGATTTCAGGTCCATCTTCAACAGGAGATGCACCGAGGCGGACTACCAGACGTGGCACCTACACAACCAGGTATCATGGCTGCCGGACCCAAATAAAGATCTGAGGACAAAACGGTTCTGGATGCACTTTCTGTTTTTAATTATTCCAGTGTGATCAGAGTGAGTAACTATTTAGTCTGCTCTTTAATTTACTTTACAATTATTCATTATGTTTTTTTCTTAAATATAGATTAAAACTGGAAAAGAAATTCTCTGTTGAAGGGTGAAATGGGCAGACAGCTGACTGATCCCTCCTTATTGACGTCATGCATTCATTAAAAAGAAAGAAATAAAATAAATCCTGGGGAACCACCACTGGTTCCACGATTCAGTTTAGGTTTTTTTTATGGTTTTGCTAATGAAACAGCACAACCTGAGCAAAACAAAAAGATAAAGGTTGACCTAAAGCAACTATTGGTCAGAACATTCACTGACAGGAAATAGGATGGAGTAAATGCACCCATAACCTTTAGCTTATTAATGCATCTCCATCCTGCTGAACATCCAGGAGGACCAAGGTTGGTTCTATATTAGCTTTTAAAGACGCTCCCCCTCCAGGCTCAGAGTGAGTTGGACCCTGACCCTCCACCCGTCCTGCTCTGTTTCATCAACCTGCTGGACCTGAAACCGAGCCACACACTCAGAGCAAGCCTTTATTCACGGCCCGCTTCTGTAAACAGCTCAGACACCCATATGTTCAGAGCGGAGTAATGATCAAACCAGGAAGCATGGAAGATGACAAGAGTCCGGGCCAGTTATGGAGCCAGACTGGCTGAGAGCGTCTGCAGAGAAACAGAGGAAGAGATGGAGCTAGAGAAGTTTCAGCTTTTCATTGTCAGAACCTGGAAGTCTATTTGTGATGCAGTCCGGTTTCTTTGACATCTCACTACTGACACCTGCTGCATGGAGGCGGGATGTCGAGTGAAACCGGCGGCTCAGGTTGTTTTTTAATCCTCAGCTGATTCAGTCTCTCAGAATAAATCTAAAAATGTTTGGCAGATTGAGGTTCATTATCAGATTATATCAATATTAGTGAATAAATCTAAGATGGAGCCCCAGTAGGGTTGCAGTGACAGACGATGTTGATTTATTTCTGTTTGCATCATTTAAATCATTTTCCTCCTGGTTTTTAAATGAATGTTTGTGTGATTTTCCTGTAATCTGTTTTCTGATCTGCTCGGCAGGGTGAGCCGTGTCTGATGGGCGTGAAGAGAATCTACCGGAAGCTGAAGCCGACCTCCAGGTGCGTCATGGGAAAGACGTACTCCGTGGCGATGACCTCGGCTCCCTGCGACTGCATGGAGGCGGACTTCGAGTGGTCAGTGCTGACCTCAGTTCATCCCCTTTACATCTAATTTTTATTTGTTAAATTTCTGTCAAATTTAATGTTGGTGATCTCAGCCAGAACACAAACAGAAAAATCCCACATTTTTCTGTTCAAAAAACATTTGAACATATGTTTTAGACACTTTTAGTGTTTAATGAGTAAGTTTAAAAGTAAAATACTTTATTTTTAAAAGGAACACAATCTTGGTCTACTATTTAGTTATTAATTTCATAGCAGCACATCATAAATACATATTTTTTCTCACCCTGACCAATCAAAGCCTGGGGGCGGAGCTAATCCTGCTCAGGTTTTTATAATTGGTCTGAAGTTCGCTTCACTAACCAATCAGATATCTGGGTTGAAAAGAGTCACAGTTTATTAATTCATTTCTTCAATCAGGACATTGTCCACCTTGGACACGTCACCAGTCCTTCACAAGCCAACACAGGACATGTACAAACACACACACACACACACACACACACACACACACACACACTTAAACGATTTAGAAAAAAACAACAAAAGATTAATATCATAATAAATGGAGGCAAAATTCCCTAAATTTGAACTCATCAGTGAGAAGCTATAATGCTAAAAACATATTTTCTCTAGAAGCAACAAACCAATAAATATTCACTCAATCAAATGCCCATAATCATTTCCATCACAGGCCTTCTGGCAGTCCTCTTCTAAATGCTTATGAAGTAATATTTAATAGAAAACCCATATTGGAAAAAATACTTTAACAGAAAAATGGTAACTAAATATCCAGGTCTACAGATCTAAGCTGTAAATCTGTAAATTTAGATCACTTCATTTCTGCTGACTTTTACTTTTTTACTTCATTTTCACACATAAATATTTAGGATGAGAAACTGAAAACACTTTCCTGCATTTCTTCTTCAACATGGTTAAGACCGAACCATGAATTTAGATGTTGTTTCATTTTGTACACATGGTGACTGTTTACTCTGAAGGCCTATAGATTTTACAATAATGTTCCACCTCCATCACTAATCAAACACTGGATATCTCTGTGAATAAATGAGATTCTTGGATATGTGTGAAGCACCTTCTGCAGTTATTGACTAAGAGATTTTTGTCTCAGTTTGGCTCCCTGTAAAAAACAGGATCAGGGGATAAATAGTTGCCATCCTGCAGATTGGAAATGCATATCGGCCTTGGCACATCCTCACGGTGTTTGCGCTAATGTGTGAATATTTCTGCGTTTGTGTGTGAGAAAGAGAAAAAGTGGAGGAGCCAACGTGTTTTTCACTCTCAGACATTTTATTGATTCTACTTTAATGTTTGCCATCGTTCACGTCTTGAAGGACAAAGTGTTCAGAGATAAAACGATCCTTCACAGCCATTTTTGCAGCAGCGACTCTTAATGTCAGGAAGATGTCGGTTTATCTGCATCCAGATGAAAACTGCTTTCTCTCACTATTTAATTGCATTCATTTTTTTCATGCTTTGGTCCCAAATCTACAGGCCTCTGGAGGAGGCAGCTCCTGCAATAAGCTTCATCAGGACCATAAATCACGGCGCCTAATAGCTTTCATTAACAATCACAACACTTCTGCATCTGTGTGCATGTCGCTCTAATTGGGGCAATTTGTCCCCATCAGTTTGGGGACACAGAGCTGCTCTGCCTTTTAATTTGTAGCACAAACACCTAATGGCTGGTATCTGCAGTCCTAAACACAGAGGGGTTCCTCACAGCAACAAAGTTCAGCATCAAGTTTATGATCCATCAGAAACATGTTTATTATAACTGCAGCTTTGACTCCAGCAGGCTCATATATTGACACATTTTCTTGATGACATGTAGTTCATCGCAGTTGACAGGTTTCCATTCCTGAACACTTTGAGGTTTGGACTGTGGCTTTAAGACCAGCCCCAATCATCACCCTTCCACCTCCATGCCAGCTGGTGATGAAGTTGCACCAAAAATGTTAGCTAGCTACGTAGCGAGGGTATTCAGTCGGCCCATTGCCTTAATGGATCTGTGAGTCAGACTCAGTTGAATTGATGAAAATGTCTCTGTGTGATTCTAATGTTTGCTTTGCAGGAAAATCCCACTAGAACAAAACAACTTAGATTATACGAGATTAAATCATCCCAACACAACAAATTTAATATCTGTGTTTAACATATTTAAGGCCAACTTACCTTTAAATGAATTTAAGACATTTTAAAGATGCACAAACACTGTTAAATGTTTTCCATTTGTGAATAATTTTTATCTATTATTAGATTACGTCATGAGTTCTTCTGTGGTGAAATCTCTTGTGTATTTTGAAAACGTCTTAATATGATTAAAATCATTTGTAAAGTAATTTTTATTAGAATGCAAACTTCACAATAACCTTAACAATGATTTCAGATTTCCGTTGCTTCTGATCGGATCACCGTCTGTCGGTTTCATTGCAGTGATTATGGCTATGAGAGGCGAACTGATGGGAAGTGCAGCCCCGCCTTCTGGTTCCATCCGTCCTCCATGTCCCGCAGCTGCACCACGGGGATGACTTTCCTCAACAGCACCGGGTGAACATGACGAGCATCAGATCAGAATCAGGAAGTTAATTACTTAGTTAATTAGAACATCGGAGATGAATGAAACACAAGAGTTGAAAAACTTTTGAACATAATTTTATCTGAAGCCCAAAATGGAGTGAATATCTAAACAACAGTGTCAAATTGCTGTCCTGAAGGGTTTTGGACATGTTCCTGGTCCAACACACAGTCTAAACGACTGGGTTGCTTCCTCAGCATGTTGTCAGGTTCTGCAGGAATGTAGTAATTATTTGGATCAGGTGTGCTAAAGCAGAGAAACATCAGGACATCGGCCCTGGAGGACCAGCACATCACTTTGCTGATTGGGCTGATTGGTGTCTGTAAAACAAGAAAAATGAGTGTTCAACATGATAATTCATAACAACACAGAACCTGTTCTGCTGATGGCGCCTTAAAGTGTTACAGAACAGCAGGAGGAGGAAACGTGTCTGCAGCAAAAAAGTTTGTTTCTAACTAAAGAAACAGACTGAAGTAAACAGGACATGTTGGCAGGAAAACAAGAAAGACACAAAGGAAGCAGAATGTGAAGCAAAATCAACTAAGATGAAGTTTAATAATAATCATAGTGAATATGTGATAACCAACGACAGGAAGACCGAATCTCATCGGTTCTCACTGGTTGAAATGTCTAAAGATGATAGGTTTATTTTTATATTTTAAATGGGTAATTTCAACTTTCTGAACTTTTCTAAACAGTGTAAAGCAGGTGGCTGTTAAAAAGGTAAATGATCAAGTGTTACTGAGATCAGGCATTTTAAAATATAACGTTTACTTTTTAAGGCTCAGGATATGATGTGTACATGAAACTGGAAACATCAAAAACACAAGCTGGTGATATTTAAAAAAATAAAAACTGGACAGAGCAACAACAACGTGGAACCATGTGGTAGTTAATAGTTAAATAAGAGTTGGTTAATTATTTAAAAAGTCAGTAATTAGGTAAATACAAGTTAGTTGGTGTTAACTAAAAGTTAATTAATGGTTAGCTAAGACATAGTTCATGTTGCATAACAATGGTAAAAAAAATAACACATTTTTAGTTTTTAACAGTTATTTAATGATTAAATAAGAGTTGGTGGGTAAGTGAGAGAGTTTTGGTTGAAATAAGTTAGTTGCCAGTTAAATGAGCATTCAAAGCTTTTGTTTTGCCAAGAAAATGTAATTTAAATAGATAAACAAGGTTTGGACAGAACCACAGAGAAGCATATTACTGTTTCCATGTGAACATGGTCAGATGGTGTCTGTCCCCCTCAGCTACAGGAAGGTGGTGTCCAATAACTGCACAGCTGGAGTGATAGCAGAGTACACGGCCCGGCGACAGCACTGCCCCGTCCAGGCTCCCAAAGGCCTCCACCTGGTCACCAGCGAGGGCCGGCTGACCGCCACGCTGGGCGCCAACGTCACCTTCCTGGTTTTCCTGGAGGAGGTGAGCCCCACCAGCTGCTGAGTCATTTCATTCAGCAGGGGAAGGAATTTAAATAAACCTTCTACAATTATAAAATCAATCTGTGAATGTCAACCACGGTGCCCACTGTTCATCACATCCGAGAAAACCTTCCTGGCTAAGCCGTTTCTATGGAGACCAAAACCCTTTGGTTGAACTGAAATGCTGTTATTTTCACACTCGGTGTCCATTCGTTCTGTTCCTGTTCTGGTTCAGAACAAAGAATGGACCTAAACGTTTCAAAAGAGGAGAGTGAATTTATTACTGCCATTCAAAGAGCTTCGGATCGAAATCATCCACCAGGAAAAGCAGACAGCGCGCCGCATGCAGAGTGGAAAGAGCACAAGTTTATTTTCTAACTGACGTTTAGAAAATGAGATTAAAAACTCTAGTCAAGTAAGACACCAACATGAATTAATCACTTCAGGCCTGGGGGATGAAGGCTCCTTCCTTTATGTTTTCAACTCAAAGGTCCAGTCTCACTGCTGCCACTTCAACTTTACCGAAAAGAAAATTTCACACATAAGAAAATGAAATGCAGCAGTTCAGTTATCCAGTCCAATTCTTCCATAAAGACTTGAACTTTCTTTTTGTGCTCAGGAGAGTCAGAATATATTTATTCACTTAGATTTGGTCCTTTGTTCTCTGAACACCGAGCGTGTTTTACTGGATGCAAAGAGTCACTTTGTAATAAAAAATAAAGTTTATCTTTGTTTAAACAAAAGGAACCAAGTTATTGGCTCACACAGAGCAGAGTCTGTAACTTCATTAAGATTAAAAACATTTTTTATAATCGAAGATGAAATTCAAAGATCTGTGATGAACGCCTCGTGTGAAAAGTACAGCAGAAAAATGTGTGAAACTCTAAGTTTTAATCACACAGGAAGATTAATTTGCCAATTTCTTGCATTTCAAATGTTTTCGTTGTGACTGATTGAGGTCAAGCAGCACCAGAGCATCACGGTTTACATTTGTATTTCTTTCTTTGCTGGGATAGTGAGCACAACTCCGGTCGTCTTCACAGAACATCGTAGAGCCGCAGCTCAGCCTCACTGATGGTTGGTTGGTTCTGCTGCAAAATGCTTTGATCGAATCTGGACCCAGTTAAAAGCAGCAGAACGAGTCCAAACGTCTCTGACTCGGTTTCTCACACTCTGAATAACGTGAATATTATCCAATCAGAGGTTCTTAATGAACTTACATTTTGTAAGTATGGTTTTTGATTCAAACCTGATTAATTAATTATTGACTCTGTAATTACCTTGATTAACATTTTAATTGAGTCACTTCACTAGTTATTTTTTGTAATCTAAAGAAATCCTTTGAGTCAATGTTGTATAATCAGAAAACGTGAATAGATTTTCCACACTTTTATTAACATCTTTGATGCTTATTAGCATCATTCGTCCATAAAGTTACACTTAGATTTATAAAGTGCTGTTTCAATGTTTCTTAGTTTTAAAGGTATATTTCAGTAAATCATTGTAAACACTAAGACGTACCGAAACAACATGAAACTTAGTAAACCCAGTTGGTTAAAAGTTTGACATGTGATCTTAAAGAATTTGAAAATGTCCAGAATTATGGTAAATTAGAACATTTCCCATTAGATCCACCATGCAGTCTTACAGGCTCTGAATTTAAAGCAAAGTAAATCCAGGCTGTCTGCAGGCACCAGATGTGTTTTTATCGTGAGGAGAACATGAAGTCCTGCAGATTAAACCTGAAGTGTTTGTCCTGCGCAGGGAGACGGAGCAAGGACCAGCATCACGGTGGACTTTGGAGATGGTCACGCTCTGACGTACTCCAACGTGAGCTCCATCGAGGACGGCATCAAGCACATCTACAAATCCGTGGGAATCTACCGGGTGACGGCCACCGGGGAGAACAGCCTCGGTTCTGAGACCGCCACGCTCTTCCTGCACGTCACATGTGAGTTTTTATTAAAAATACCAACACAAAAAACCTCTGCTTCCATTCATGGAGGACTGTCCTCCATTTTTCTAATCTTCCTCTTTTTCCCACTCTTTATCACCTTGTGTGGAATTGCTGCTGTCACTTCACCGCGTTCGGGGCTTTATCTCCCCAGAACCCGTCCAGAATCGAACAAACAAACAGAGATAGAACAAACCTCATTACGCTTCCTCTCCAGTCAGTGCTGCCTCGTATGGATGAGGCCTGACAACTTCTGCTCCCTAACAGATGTAAAAGGAACCGACTTACTGATCAGGGAGCCCGCCGCCCCCGCCGCCGATCTGCCCGCCGTGTGTGACAGCCACGCACACAGAGTCACTGCAGACCCCAGAGGGCGGCGGAGGAAAACAACCCACAGATGGCAGCTATTGGTTCAGATGCAGCAGAGAATTCTGGGCTAATTTCTTCTCTCCATTTGAGCTAATAAAGTTGTTTGTGAGTTTTGCATGTAGCAGCAGAGCGTGGAGTTCACTCTGTGATGCATTGTGTGTCTGAACAGGTCAGCTGGAGCATATCCATCTCTCTGCTCCCTTTGTGGCGGTGAGGAACAAGGAAGTGAACCTGACCACCGTTCTGCATCCCAGCCAAGTGGGAACGGTCACCTACATCTGGTGGATCGGAAATAACACTGAGGTACGGCGAACGCTGCTTCTCTGTGTCCGTTTGTAATTAAGAAGTAGGTTGCTGACTCTGTTGTTCTGTGCAGCTATATTTGTTGGCGCCGGCTGCAGAAAACCAAGGCCTTGTTAATCAGGACTGATAACAGTTGCAGAATGTTCTGATGAGCCATAAGCTTAAAGTGTCTCGATTACCAAGTTATGGAGAATCTTAAAGCCATCTGCATACAGAGCAGAGCGGAGTGGAGGTCCGGTCAGCAGCAGGAGTTCTTTGACCCGTTTTAACATCCTGATGGCTTCAGCCAGCAACGAGCTCTCAGGAGCATCTCAGGTTGTGTAAACTGTGGTACCAGCTCATCTTCAAAAACAGAAAAACTCCATAGTGAATGTTGTAACCAGAAGCTTACAGACACACAGCAGGTCAGTTGGAACTACCAGAATGATTTCTGGTTGCTAATGATAGAAGGGATGTTAGAGACAAATCACAGCAGCGTAGATGTGATGGGAAAGTCCAGTCATCACATCATTCAGGAAAGAGACAAATTCTGGGAAATGCACCAGAAGTGCATGGACATAATGTTCTGAAGGCAGAACATTAACTTCCAGTAAGACGTTAAAGCTTTGGCACAGAAGAGACTTCCAGATCCATGATTCTCAGAAAATCACTGAGAAGGTGGAACCTGGGGGGGAGAAGGACCTGGAGGACCTGGAGGACCTGGAGAACCTGGAGGACCTGGAGAACCTGAGGAACCTGAGGAACCTGGAGAACCTGGTGGACCTGGAGGACCTGGAGAACCTGGTGGACCTGGAGGACCTGGAGAACCTGGTGGACCTGGAGAACCTGGGGAACCTGGAGAACCTGGAGAACCTGGTGGACCTGGAGAACCTGGTGGACCTGGAGGACCTGGAGAACCTGGAGAACCTGGTGGACCTGGAGGACCTGGAGGACCTGGAGAACCTGGAGGACCTGGTGAACCTGGAGAACCTGGAGGACCTGGAGAACCTGGTGGACCTGGAGGACCTGGAGAACCTGGTGGACCTGGAGAACCTGAGGAACCTGGAGAACCTGGAGAACCTGGTGG